GCTCCGTGTAATAGTGATTAGGTACGAACCTCTTCCTCGTGATAGTTTTCAACTCATCCCAAGTATTATGCTCACTCTTGATTCCTCCTCCTTGATGTAACCACTTGATCCCACCAAGTTATAGCGTAGTCAACAAACTCAAGAATTGTAATTTTCACCTTCTTCTCCTCCGAATAATTATGACAATCAAGTATTAACTCCACTTTCTTATCCACTCTAGATAAGCCTTCGGATCACTCATTCCCTTAAACGGTGGAATTGACATCTTAATATTGTCCATATTCTCATTCACTTCATCTCCAAAACGACTTCTACCCCTTCTTTCAAACCTACATCCTCTATTTCTCATTCTACCCATATCACCCACCATCGATGCACCATCATCCATATCGATGGTAGTCGGGCCTCAGCGGCGGGTAGTGCTGCGGTTCCTACGTCATAGGAAAAAAAAACACCGGCCAGACCTTCCAGTTGATACTTCAGTTCACAATACACACAGTACACACACTAAAAACCTCAATCAAAACCGAATAAATTCCTCTCATATAATGATACTCCAATATTTCCACTCAATTGTTTTTGTCAAGTTTCACTTTTTAATGGCCATTTTTAGATGGTGATTATTTATTTCCATTAAAATCTGTCGCTGGTAACAATAGGCGTTTAATCTTTCACGTTCGAAGCACACATAAGCATTTATTTATTTTTGTTTCTTTATGCTCAGATTCAAATGAAGAGTTACGAATTATTGGCTCTGAGTACGTGAAAATTTATTTATTTTTGCATGATTATGAATTGTTGAAATTATTATTGTGCATGGAGTTGCAGTGTGTTTATCTGTTAGTAACTATTTCAGTGTAATATACTGAATTATGATATATTAATGGAAAAATAAAAGAAGCTAGATGATTACATTGACAACTTTCCATATAATTTGGTCAGTAGGACGATTTTGAAAGTTAAGATGAAAGACGATAATTGGCCAAATTGCTTATTTTTAAAGATGGAGATTGTGTTTTGAATTTGATCGTGGAATTGTGAAATTATTATTGTGTTACGCATATCCTTTGGATTTGGGTGATTTCTAGCTATTTGTTAGGAAGAGTAAGATGCATATTGTATTTACATTTTGTTGAGAATTTGTGACCAGTTCTGAACATGTGGACATAGAATAATTTTATCGACTTGAATTATAATGGAAGCACTCTTGATATTAGTTATTTCTTAATTTCAGGATATTCCATCATTTAACACTTCTGAAGAAAGCTTGCACACCTTTTCCATCTGTTGACTTGCCGTCGTGAAATAAGTTTTTGTAAATTGGTCATCTTTAAAGTAAGTGAATTAAGCTGGTTTTGACAATTGTTCTCGTAGGTTTTGAATTTTCTTCAAAGATATTTGGGCGAGTATGTCCATGGTCTGTCTGCTGAGGCGGTGAGGCCTTGACAATTAGCGTTTGTGCACAGAGCTTGTCATTTGAGTGGTACAGGTGTTGATATACTAGGTAATGCAAGTAGTGCACTTGGTCATATGAGCAAAGGTCTAGCTGCCTGATCAATGGATAAGAAATTCATACAAAGTCACAAAAGATAGTTTAGACTTTTCTCCATTTTAATAAGTTGCTTTCACATTACAAAGTCAATTCTGATTGCTTAAATCAGGATTTATGTTGACAAGCTTTTGCTGACTAAAATTTAACACTGGTCCAATGGATCAGTTATTATGGATTATAATTTAACAATCTTATAGTATGCTTGCCGAGCAGTGCTGAATGAGCCAGCCTATATTACAGTACTATGAACCAGATTTAACTACTTATTTACTACCGTTCAGTCCTGTGTATCAGATGTACACATATTGTTCCGACTATGGTTTTCTGGTTTCCACACTAATGGTTCTCTTATGTTGATTCCAGCAAACATCTGACATTATGGCCCATAAAAAGTTCAACCCAGCTAGAGACCCTTGTTTAGTGCTGTGGGATGCAACGTGGGATGACGTGGTGGCTATGGAAGTGACTACAGGAAAGAAAGATCATCCAAATTCCCCGCCTTCACGGGTTATTTTTGTTAAAAGATAGAATCTCATATCGAATAAAGATGTAAACATAAACCAACTTACAAATGATTGGTTTACTCCTCTTAATAAGGTTGACCTTTTAATATGGAACTTCAATTCTTAATATGATATTCCTTGGTAGTTTGTCGGGCAATCGCAATTCTACACTTGTAAATTATCGATGTCCAAAATTAACAAACCGAAAATCTGTTTGTTTGACTTGAACATTGCTAGTCGTTCATATACTAGACAAAGGGTCATTTGCGTTTGAATTCCTTTTTCAGATTTTATTTATTTATTTATTTCAATATGTTGTTAACGGTTCTGTTTTGTTAATTTCTGATATATGTATTATGTAGTTATGAATGAATTGAGATTTGTTGTCTATTTAATTAATTATTGGCAGTTGACACATCATTTATTTAAATAGGAGTAAGGTAACTGGGACTAAATTGATGACATGTTAATCTAAAATAATCGTCTATGATTAATTGAGTGAACATAAAATTGGACAGCAGATCTCAACTCATTATGAATTGATGTTAATTTCTGCTCAATAGTTCTGTGTTTCTGCTTGCTTAATTTCTAATATGTGTTGTGTAATTATGAATGTTGTTCATTTCTGCTCAATTCCAAAATGAGTGAAAAAAAATGTTTGATTGAAAACGAGGTTGAGAAAACATATTTTTGTTCCCAACAAAAAGGAAAGAAATGAAACGGAGGAAACGAGAGGGCAAAAATCTACTTTCCTGCCGTAATAAATTAATTAATCCACGCAAAAATATAGAATAGCTCGAGGATATAAATAATATAAGACATTATGAAAATCGGAGAAGAAGAAAGTTTAAAGATGGAGCTATTTTTCTTGTTAGTTATCGGGAAAGTTTAGTCTGGCATAATGTCTCGTCACATTATACTTTTCGAGAGAAGCAGAAGTATATGGATATGTTACGGCTCGCCTAAAGACCTTTCTATAGGAAAGAAAAATGTACAGTACAGCTGTGTGTGTGAATGTGTTGTATATATTTTAATTTCTAAATTTTGGCCACTCCTTAAAGTAAGCACATAGTAAAGGAATTTGGATGTTTGATTTTTTTTTTAAAAATGGCAATTTTTGAGATGATTGTTGGCATTTATTTATATATTTAATTAATGAATTTATCTATTTATTTATTATGAATACGTATGTGATGAGTATTGGTTGCTTTGATTGGATATTATATTTGCTTAATTATCAAATATAATCAATTAAATTGAGATTATGACTTGTGATTAAAAAATGTACCTTACTTTTTTAGTGATCAAAACTTTAAAGTTTGTGGCCCAATTCCAATGGCCACAAATGCACATTACGCCCATTGTAAGATAAGATTGCGTTACCTTTATACACTAAAGTCCCTAGTAAAAGAAATAAAATGAGTAAAGAAAACAAATTATAGCTTTAATGGGCTGAATAATCTTCCAATAATTCCACTAAATTTTATTTCTCACAAAGGTAATAGTAAGTTGGCGTAAGTAACTAGTTTTGATCGAAGCTTCGATGAACTACGATCGTAATTATAAAAAAAATTTGTCGGCTAAGTTTCGATCTGCACGAAAAGTGTAAGAGTAGAATCATAGTTTAGTGGTGGGTTAACCTTAAAAAAAAAAAAAAAATTAAATAGAGAGACGCATATGTTGAATTTTCATACATATAAGTAAATGGTGGAGTTGTCTTAAATGATTTAACTTTTTTTTTTTTTTCGTCTTCTATTGAAGTGATTCGAGATTTTAATTTTTGCTCGTTAACAAGATGATGATGAATTGTTTGAAGATATTAATTTGAGATTTAAACAGATAAAATTGCCTGTTTAAGCTAGAAGTTTCATTTTGCAAATTTTACTCTTCGATATTGTTCAAATCCATAATGGAAATTAAAAATGTATCTAATTACAATTTGAATAAAAATAAAGCTTCTGTTTGGTGCACATTTTTGGAAAAAGAATACATTTTTACCGTTGATGTAATGAAGAATATGTAGTTGAAAAGAATGAAAAGTTATTGCTGTGAGGAAAATATTATTTTATTGAAGAATGTGTGGTTGAAAATGAATAGAAGAATGAGAATGAAAAAAATATTGTGGACCAAACAGGGTCAAAATAAATAAATTCAATTTTAGATACTTTTTTTTTTTAAAATTAAACCCTTGTTTGAGCCTCATTTTTTTATTTTTTTTTTATCAAAATGTATTTTAGAATTGTGTTTTAATAGAGAATGTGTGGTTTAAAAGTAAGAATTTTTTTTTATTCATGTTCAAAATTATTTCTTGAATGAGTTCCATTTTCTTTTGAGAATGCATTTTAGAATAATACATTGATAGAGAATGTGTGGTTGAAAAATAAGGAAATTTTTTGAATTTGAGTGTAATATTATTTTGTTGAAAAGAAGAGAAAGAAAAATGTATTTTAAAAATTATGGTGATCAAATAATAAGAAAATGTGTGGTTGAAAAAATTAATTTTTAAGAAAATGGGGACCTAGGCAAAATAAGAGCTTGTTTGGGAGGGATTAAAATCAGATTAAAATTGAAAATATAGTCGTTGGAGTTGACTTTTATTAGATGGGTGGGACCAAATAACAGCTATATTTTCAATTTTAATTGAATTTTAATCCATGTCAAACAAGTTCTAAATAAATTCAATTTTTAAGTATTTTTATTTTTATTTTGGTAATTACTTAGAACCCCCTCCCACCGACTTTCTGTAACTTCCATTCGTCCACGCCGCGTGATTTTCACACGGATTATTTTATAAAATTAAGGAAACCTAACCCTCTCTAGAATAAAAGCTAATTTTCCCTTCTTCTTCACGTTTCCCCAATTCCGCTTCAAGATTTCCTACGAATTAATCTCTTAAACAATCAAAAGAAGCTATTTTCCTGCGATTTTTACTACTTTCATCGAATATGGTGGCAGAAACAGAGATTTTGTGCTCGCAAAGCGTTTCGGTTCAGTACTATAGCGCCAAAATGCCCACAAAAATCGAAACCGAATTCTTCGACGTCTCATCGGCGGCGGTGGCGGTTTCTCCTACTGATATTACTACTACGTCGCCTAGATCTCAGATCTTTCGCGCCTCTGATACGGAGATTTCCATCGAAATCTGTCGTTCTGAATCGGTATGTTCATTTACGATTTTTCCATTTTTTTTAATCTTGGTTCGTGATTGTTGTTAGTACTACTAGTAATTGAATTAAATGTTTTTAACGTGGGTTTGCAATTCTTTTTTAAACCCAGATGACTGATTTTGTATTTGTTGAAGAAATTAGGGTTTCCTGTTATTTTGGTTAGTAAAGACCCTCGTTCTTGTTAATCATATCAATTTTTATTTTCTTTACTTTTTCGATACTGTGTGCATGTTTTTGTGTGTTATATTACTTGAAGGGTGTTTGGATTGCCAAGTTAGCGTTTGAAAGTTGTATTTTTTGGTGGAACTTGATTTGTCTAAAAATTTCTTTGGGAAAGATTTGTTGATATGTTCTTTAATTGGTTTCTGAAGAAACTTATTGGGTTCATAAAGAGTAACATTTAACTTAAGATATTGTGATAGGAAGATACTTAGTTTGCTGTGGGGACGGGTCTGATAGTAATCTAATAATTGCTGGATCTAAAAGTTAAAGCAGCGAGGACTTGAGATTTTTCTAGTTTCTGGAAGAATTTTTGCTTTGTTTTGAACGAATAAATGAATATTCTCCACAATCCAAAATATTCCAGCACGATTGATTTTTGAGGTTCTATTCGAATATAACTCTTTTTGGTTTTATGTTTATTTCTGTTGTAGTGTAGTTTATCATTGGATATATGCTAAAACAGTTGTATTGTGTTATCACCAGGCTCGTTGCTGCTCAACAAGTACCCAAAGTACAACTGCTTTGGAGACTCCCAGTAGCAGGTTTGTTCCAAGCATTTGTTCTGGCAGTCACTCGGATATTGGACCCCGCCGTTACAATGAGGATGAACACATTCGTATAGACGACTTATCTGTGCATTTAGGCTCTCTCTACAGGTGGTCTCAACCAAGTTCCTTTTATGCTGTTTTTGATGGCCATGGAGGCTCAGATGCAGCAGCTTATGTCAAGAATAATGCCATGAAATTCTTTTTTGAGGATGCCAATTTACCTCAAACTTCTGATGATGACGAAAAATTCTTTCAAGATTTGGAGAGAGCTCATCGCAAAGCCTTTTCATCGATTGACCTTGCCTTGGCTGATGAACAAAGCAGTGTTGATTCATATTGTGGAACAACAGCACTTACAGCCCTTGTTCTCGGAAGGTATTTACTTATCGCAAATGTTGGTGACTGCCGTGCTGTTCTTTGTAGAAAAGGAGTTGCAGTTCAGTTATCTCATGATCACAGATCCTCGTGTCTGCTGGAACGGGAAAGGGTTGAGAATTTAGGTGGTACCATTCAGAAAGGGGGGTACCTAAATGGTGAACTTACTGTTACTCGATCCCTTGGAGACTGGTACATGAAACTCCCATTAGGCTCACCGTCTCCTCTAATTGCTGAGCCAGATGTTCAACAGACTTTGTTGACCGAGGATGATGAGTTCTTGATAATCGGTTGTGATGGGATCTGGGATAGAATGTCAAACCAGGAAGCAGTTAGCCTAGTTCGCCGTGAGCTTAGGCATACTCATAACCCCCAGCAGTGTGCACAAGAACTCGTAAACCAAGCATTAAGGCTAAATACAGGCGACAACGTCACAGCCATTGTTGTTTGCTTCTCTTCCCTAGAGCCACAAAATTCAGTTGTTTCTCAAAGGCCTAGATTTAGATTCTGCTTGGCCGAGGAGGCAAGAAAGAAGTTGCAGAGCCTATTAGGTGGCAATTAAATTGCAAAAATTCAAGATTAATTTTTTTAAAAACAGAGTGTATTATTATTTGGAATAATTTTTCCATTTGTTTTAAGGTAGCAGCCTGCAGTTTTGTAGGATTAGAGATGAGGATATGCAATTTTGTGTAATACTTTATTGATTGTTGAATCTGATTAAATTTTTGTTGAGTCAAGTTCTTCAATGTATCAGTACTAATTACTTTGTTCCTCTAAATATCTTGTAATTGTTCATGGTTTGTGTATTATGTATGTATTTGTAATTGTTCATGGTTTGTGTATTATGTATGTATTTATATTTGTTATAGATTTTGCTATTTTGGCATGGTGTGGCTTCTTGATAACTCTTCATTGATGGAGGCTTGGCCATATATCTCATTTAGGCACAGTTGCACCAACACACACACACTGTGAGGCTATAATTTTCTGGTGTAGACATGTGAGAAGAAGATAATGATATCTGAATTCTGGAATTGCTTGTTTTTGTGTATGTAAATATGGGAAAATTGCTGATTGGTGCTCAATCTATTTCTCAAGCAGTAAGTTCGTCTCAAACTTCAAGGAGGCAACAAAGTTGGTCCTCGATCTTTCATTACAGCTTTACGTGTTTTAACTTCAAGAAATTATTGTTTATATGCAATTACAGTAAAAAGATAGACTAACTTGCTCCTTTCTAATTTTCGGGACTAAAGTGCTAATTGAACAAGAAGTTCGGGATCGATTAATGTAATTTTTTTGGTTAGAGCAGTTTCTTTGTTTATTTTATTTTTTTCTCATTACTTTATATTTTGGTCAATTATCATGGCAAGAATAATATATCACTAACAAAAGTGGGTTACAAATTTTGAATTTTATGCAGTTTGCAAAATATAAAATGTGCACATTTTTAGTTAACGGTCCAGATTGCTGCTCCAAATAGCGTCCATGATTCTGCTAAAAGTCAAAATAATCGCTCACCACTAATCTCGTGATCCAACGGTTGTGATCCTGCATGGCCCACTCCACCAATAAGCAAAATAATTCAAATTTTAGGAAATATTTTACATTTAGTCCCATCTCCAAATTTGAACTTTCACATTCATCCTTTAGTGTTTGTTGACTCAACGAATCCTTTTTAACACAATCCGTCGATGTTCCCTTTATCAAGAAGAAAAATTCGATTGTTCATTGATGATTCCAAGCTAGAGTTTTATACTATACCTGGCCTCATCACGCGCCACTTGAAGGATTGAAGAATTCACCATCATTTTCCTTGTGATCCTATTAATTCAAATTCGTGATAATGGTTACACATTCATAATCGATTTTTTCTTCTTTTCTATTTGTTATTTCATTAACAATGAACATTAGAGCACATCGCCAAAAACCACAATGTCAGGGTTCAAATCCTCTCCCTCACACAATCAGACTTAAATAGAGTATTTTTTTCTCTTGCGTAAAGAATTTACAATTAGTGACTTGTAGCATGTACAATCATTTTCAAATCAAATCAAAGAAATTGTGATTTTTTTGGTACGTCACATTCATGCATTTACGAGGATTATAATAATATTATACTCCTGAAAGATGTTCTATTTGCTCGTAATTCTCATTTGATATCAGATAAAGTAGATTTTGATTTCATTTTCCTTGTGATGGACCTGAAAGTGGGGGTACATGTCAATTATCGGCTTGAGATCATGTCTTCTGTTAAGGACGCTAAACATGGGAGCAAATAAAATTCAAATTTGAAAGTAGGGGATGAATTTGTAAGAAGAAAAAAAGATTGGAAACTAAATGTGTAATTTTCACTTCTAATTTAATTAATTAAAGTATGTAATTCTATATTCTCCTCCTCCATTCACCATTGTATATAGCAGACTCTAAACCTAAACAATCAAAAAGAATAGTTATTTCAATTTTACATTCAAAGCTACGCAGAAATGGCGATGGCTAGTATTTCCAGGCGAAAAGCCACAACAGTGTTTTCATCATGGAGGCATTTGTACAGCAATTCGTCAAAGTACTCGTCGATTGTTAGCAGGGGCTACTCTGTGTCGTCGGGATCTGATGAAAACGATGTCATTGTGATAGGTGGTGGACCAGGAGGTTACGTGGCTGCCATCAAGGCCGCTCAGCTTGGGCTCAAGACTACCTGTATTGAGAAGCGTGGTGCTCTCGGTGGAACTTGCCTCAACGTCGGATGTATACCCTCAAAGGTATTGTTCCGGTTTTGTTTTAGATCTACTGAATTGGATTTCGATTGTTGTGTGTTTGTTCTGTTTTATTTAGATTGTAAAAATCATGCTTGCTTGATATGTATATGATTGAAGATTGAGCATGTTCATGTTTGTCTGTGTTTTACTATATTCATTTGATGAATTCTGGTACCCTTTTTTATGTACAATTTTTGTGCTTTTATTTGTAATTGTATTTTGCAATTGTGTGCTGCTAATGTTTCACTCGGTTGAATTGATGATTAACAATCATAATTTTGAGAATTATGAAAGATTTGGACTTTTACCCTTAAGCACTGTGACTGAGTAATGAACTTAATTCTAAAAATGTGACATTTTCATCTGGCATTAAATGAAAGAAAGAGAACGTGGGTTTCTTGTGGTGGAAAGCTGCTTATTTTTGTTTGAATTGATTATCTTTTTTCTTTTCCTTTTTTCTGCCTTACATCTTACCTAGTTAGTGAGGGAGCGAAAGAAGTGAGATAGTTTCCTTTTGGCTCATATTTCTTATTGAAATCTTTTTTGCCTGAGTTGGTTCAATTACATTAGATGAGTATTGTTGGTCATTCCCCAACCTTTTGTTTGGGTCACCCATGTCCCAAACCTTTTAAAATTGTGCTCGTGGTATCCTAATTCGATGGAAACTGTCTATTTAAACAGTAATAGGACAAATGTTAGGTACATGATAATTGACTAATGGGTATAATTGTTCAAAAATGATTTTCCTCCACTTTGAAGACTTCCTAGACAGATATAAATCCAGGAAGAAGATTCTGTATTTCTACACAGTAGACGACAAAATACCCACTTAGAAGTTTTCAAAGTGGAGGGAAATTATATTAGGAAAATTATACCCGCCAGTCATTTAACACATGTTTACTGCATGTCCTTTTCCCGTCTAAAAAGACATTTTCCATCGGGATACTGCATGCACAATTTTAAAAGGTTGGATACTTGTGGTAGCCCAAACAGAAGGTTGGGTGGCACAAACAGAAAGGCTGGGGATCCCTAGACGGATTTACACTTAACTAGTTAGGCGGTGAGTATAAAAGATAAGAATGCTTGTGCCAGTGTAGTTTTTGATGTTTGTGAAGGATATTTTTTCTTCTCCCCTTTTCTGATGGGTGAGTAAGATTAAATGGAACTAAAAGAAAAGTTTTGCTGGCCCCATCATCTCAACATGGTTTCAATATTTGATACAGCACACTTTCAATGGATGCCAACATATTGATATCATGCTTGAAAAAGTAATAGTAATTCAATTATAAAAATAAAAAAGGTTGTAGTAATTCAATAGTGCTTAAATCCATTTCACAACAAATTACCATGGCGACTCCACAAAATTAATGAACTTAAGTATATCTGCTGTCCAACCGGATATCATAAGTTTTATGTTATTTGGTAGCTGGTGTAGCTTATTTTGTTGTGAAACGGCAAGTGGTACATGTGGATGTCCCTAGGTCATCCGGCTTCTAAGTAAATAAGGTCTTTCTTTATGCAGTTTAAATTGTTCAATTTTTAAATAACACTTGTTTGAACTCCTATTTTAACTTCTTTTCAATGCTAAACTGTGTCAAGTCAATGTTTTGAGCAATGCTGAATTTGTTATATTTCTATAGCATATACGGTTATTTAGATCATCATTTTTTAGTGCAAATTATTAGATAAATGGACCTAAATTTGGTTTCTGTGAACTACTGAAGAATGCTGGTTTCCTATTGTTGAATTGTCATTTGGTTTTTGGATTTGTCTGATGGCAAAATTCTATTGGAAAATGCTAGTTTATAGCCAGCCATTTTGGTCAGCAAAAAAACAGATATCTATGTAGGTGTATCTGGTTTCAATTTTTGTTTTGAATTGCTATGAATTGGTTTTCACGGTATAAATTTTATATCCATTGTCTTTATTTGGTATTTAATGTATGCAGGCCCTTCTTCATTCCTCCCATATGTATCATGAAGCCAAGCATTCATTTGCTAGTCACGGGGTGAAATTATCTTCTGTTGAGGTTGATCTACCTGCTATGATGGCCCAAAAAGATAAAGCTGTGGGTAACTTAACGAAAGGCATTGAAGGTTTATTCAAGAAGAATAAAGTAACGTATGTTAAGGGGTATGGAAAGTTCCTTTCCCCATCTGAAGTTTCTGTTGATACTCCGGAAGGTGGTAACACTGTTGTGAAAGGCAAGAATATCATAATTGCCACTGGTTCAGATGTCAAAGGTCTACCAGGGATAACCATTGATGAAAAGAGGATTGTATCATCTACTGGGGCTTTAGCCCTAACAGAAGTTCCTAAGAAACTTGTTGTTATTGGTGCTGGTTATATTGGTCTTGAAATGGGCTCTGTATGGGGACGTCTAGGGTCAGAGGTCACTGTTGTTGAATTTGCAGCAGACATTGTTCCAACCATGGATGGAGAAGTCCGAAAGCAATTTCAACGTTCCCTTGAGAAGCAGAAGATGAAATTTATGCTCAAAACTAAGGTGGTTTCTGTAGATACAGCAGGGAATGGTGTGAAGTTGACACTTGAACCAGCAGCTGGTGGTGATCAGACCACTCTTGAAGCCGACGTCGTTCTTGTTTCTGCTGGTAGAGTTCCATTTACAGCTGGACTTGGATTGGACAAGATAGGAGTTGAAACTGACAAAGCTGGTCGTATCTTGGTGAATCATCAGTTTGGCACCAATGTACCGGGTGTATATGCTATTGGTGATGTTATTCCTGGGCCTATGTTGGCTCACAAGGCTGAAGAGGACGGTGTTGCATGCGTGGAATATATTGCTGGAAAAGAAGGCCACGTGGACTATGATATGGTTCCTGGTGTTGTTTACACGCACCCTGAGGTGGCATCTGTAGGGAAAACTGAGGAGCAGGTAAAAGCACTTGGAGTTGATTACCGTGTTGGGAAGTTCCCTTTCTTGGCAAACAGCAGGGCAAAGGCAATTGATGATGCTGAGGGAGTGGTTAAGATAATTGCCGAGAAGGAGACCGACAGGATATTGGGTGTTCACATCATGTCACCTAATGCAGGAGAGCTCATTCACGAGGCTGTTCTGGCTTTGCATTATGGAGCATCGAGTGAGGACATTGCACGCACATGCCACGCACATCCTACAATGAGTGAGGCCTTAAAGGAAGCCGCCATGGCCACTTATGACAAGCCCATTCACATTTAGAAGGCATGGTATATTTTTGTTGAGTTCAGTTTTCAAGATTTACACTGATCCAGCACGGTTTCACCGGTTCCTGCTCTCCTTTCTTTTGAATCACTGTCCTTTACTTGAACGCATCTGTCTATATTGCCAATAACTCATGAGGTGTACACTGCACTAATATGCATCTGAAATTGTGTGCATTTGGCAAGGGTTTTGGATTAATTTATTTTGTGGGAAGTACAATGTTTCTCACATCAGTCCACATAATTCTGTTCTTATACTTTTGTTGGTTTTTGTATGTTACTTTTCTTTGTAACTGAAAACAGTTTGTTACCTTAATTGGAATAAATTAAGGGTGAATCATTACTCAAGTGAAAAACCATAACAAGAGATCACAAATTAGGGAAATTACATAACCACCTTTTCATAAACGAACATTCCAATTCATTCTCAGATAATTATTCAGATAGTAAAAAAAAAAAAGTTAACAATACATGATAGGTATAGAAATTTATGGTAAACTACTACGTAAATACACCGAAACATTATTCATAACCATAGTTATTAAAACTGGACCGAACCAGTGAACTACTATGTAAAGACACTAGTGCTAACAACCCTTTGACCATAACTATGAAACCTCAAGGGCTCGGGATCCAGTTGCGAAAACCATTAGTTTTCTTTATGAAATGAAATGCCTAAGTTATGCTGCTGATGGAGCAGTAACATGGTAAATAACACCAGCCTCTGATAGCACTGGAACTGATGTTTTCTCTTCCTTCGAGTCGTTTGCATAATCCAATGACTCGTCTACGTATATATCCCACCATTTCTCGACCAGCATCTTTATGTCGTCTCTCTGCATGTTCTCTTCTTTACCGGTGTATCTCCATGGTTTTGCTCCCTGTAAGTTTAAATTGAAACCCAGACTGTTATTAATCCATTTCTTATCCTTTTTTGTACGTACTATATCTTGCTCAAGGACGAATACTTACCGCAGCACAATAGTGAACAACCTTAACTTGTTCGAGGTCTATATTTTCAGGATGTCGCCAAAGCAAGGCTGAAACGAGGTTATAAATTGGAGGGATAGGACGGTATATGTCCCTAAAAAACATGTTCAAAAAGTCCTGCACACATAAATCGATTCAACAGACAATATTAAGGCCCTTTCTGATAAAGAAAGAAGTTTTACAAAAGACTAATAACTTGATATTAATTTAAGAAAAGAATTTTACCTGCTCTGCAAATGAAGTAGAAGGGGTGATTTTGAGAGTTTCCAAGAGATCAGAATAAGTTGAAAGTTTTGGCTCGAAAATGAACATCCCAGCATTAAAGTACAATGGTGGTGGAGGTCCCATTTCCGGTGGCCATTGTACCTTTTCCGGGCACTGTTGACAGTAGCCGATTTGGTACTGAGGCGTACTACTCCATGTTTTCTCGCAAAAACAATCCATAACGGCGTAGAAGTAACCATTGGCAGAGTCAAAGAGGTGATCAATGTTATCGAAAACTTGAATATCTCCATCCAAGTAAATCATCTTGCTATACTCCACAAACTGCAGCCACAGTAATATGTCTCATTATGGATCAATAAATAATAAGAATAAAGGAATTCAATTATATATATTGTGCATGGCAAAGGTAAAGGTAAAAGTGAAACTAGTAAAAGCACACCATCTAAAAGCTTAAACTCAGCTAGACGAGCAGACCCATTAATACACTAACGTGCAAATAAATTACCTCCCAAATGCGAAGTTTTGAGTAGTTGATGACATAATATGCCATGGCAAACTGAATATTTTGATTTTCCGGTGGATGTATGGGCTCAATTTCACGAATAATACATCCTTGGGACTCGAGGATCTTCCGATGATCTTCTGGTACGTCCGGCAAGACAGCTACCACAAGAGGATACACAGATTTCGTCTTCCTTAAACCCTTAGCTAATCCAACAACCCCTTTCACATAATCTCCATTTCCTGCCAAGAAGGTAACATAAGCTCTCTTGGGTTCCATATTTTCCATTGATGATCCCATTACCATCTCCATGGTGCCCATTTTCAAGAGATAAATAAGAATGCTATGGATGAATTGCAACAAACACGTCTGGTCCTTTTATAACCTCAGAAAAGCTGCATGCATATTGAAATTATAAGGATAGTGCAATCATGTTGTCCAAAAGGTAAGTGTTTCATTTGACACGTTTCTGATATTCTTGTCTGTTTATTGTTAGAGATGAGTGCGTGAACATTTCGATAATGAATCTGCTTCTCTATCTAATCCTCAAGATAAATCAAGATTGTTAATAATTATTCCAACTTGATCTTATTTTTCATTGGTACAAACGACAAAGAGTTGATTATTCATTATTTGTCTTATTGTTAAGGGATAAAATCTCACATCGAATAAAAATGAAAACATATACTAATTTATAAGAGTTTAGACTACTCCTCTTAATAAGGTTGACATTTTAAGATGGAATCCCAAATCTTAACATGGTATCAGAGCCCATTAAACTCCAACGAGTAATTCGATCCTATTAAAACTCAAAAAAATTGAGTACGCGGATTTCAAAATTAGTCTGTTCAAACAAGCCACCATCTTGTGGGAGCATGTTAAGGGATAAAATCCCACATCGAATAAAGATGAAAACATAAACCAATTTATAAGAGTTTGAGCTACTCCTCTTAATAAATTTGACATTTTAAGATGAAACCCCAAATCTTAACACTTATAATTATTATTACATCTGTCACCGGTGCCTAAACTACAGGAATGAATAATTTTCTGTTAAACTTATTTTTTGCTAGCAAGACAACAACAAAGTTAATTATTCATAGAATACAACTAAAGTAAATGAATAATTTTTTGCTAATCTTACTTTGTAGCATAATGAAGTTTTAATTAACTATGTTAACAATTTGTCAGCAAGAACACAACAAAGAACTAATGCATCTTTGTACGTGGCATGTATATAAAACCTTAATGCAGACGTAGAAATATCCTATTTTAGAAAGAATTACTTTTTTTGGTTGGACGGCGGAAAAAGAATAAATATCTTAAAAGTAAAAAAAGTAAACACGATAAGTTTCATTTTTAAATATTCCAAAAGAATATATGCATGGAGTAAAAACACTTGCTGAAAATCTTGTACTGAAATGGTTAAAGTTTTAGTTCTGAAAGTAAATTGCCGATTCCATTTTCAGTTCAAAAGAATAATGAGCACTCTGCAAATATCTCGTCGGCAAAGTTCCTTTGTTTTGTCGACTTTTTCTGTTGAAAATTCTCACACAATTACAAGAAAGAAGTCCAATATTATTCTCAGAAGTCAGAGTATATCCCCCATACGGTTCGTATACAGAAGTAGTAGACGAGAGAGACGCGATTACGATGTATGGTTCAAAAACGGGTTATAAAACGTAAAAATTATCGAATATGTTTCATGCATGCAATATAAAATAAAGGGTGATTTATTAGAGATAAATTGTGTACCACGAACGCAGAAAAAGCAACGTCCACTCGATTCGTTTGATGTGGAGTTGACAGATGGATATGAAGTTCATTTAATCAAAGAAAATATCATTCTCATGAATTTTATTCTGTATTCCATTAAAACTTGAGAAACCAGTGAGTGCCATACAAGTGTACAGGGTTTATCAGAAGCTAGGAATCTGACAAAAAATTTAACAAATGGCCTTTCGTAACAGCGAAAAGGATCACAAAACTTTAATCTAGAGATAGAGATAGAGAGAGTGGGTTAAATTGATGAAGATGACTATACGTAGGGAAAATTTGGAAGGGAGTGGGCTGTTTTTGGTGTCTTCCTCACGTGCTGTGCTGTATGAATGATTGAGACAAGACTGATAGAAGAGAATGTGGTGAAGAAAATACGACTTAGATTGAGTTATTTTTCCTATCCACGGTGCATGACACAACAAATTTTTATCGTTAGCAAGAGAGACGTCGTTCAAGAGTATGCTTGGGAATTCGAATTAAAATTTGTTGTCTCTGTTTGATTGGCTCAACACTCGAATTTCGATACCTAACTACATCAACTCTTACTAGTAAATAGCAAGATGACTTGTAGAGACATTAGATCGAAACTCAAATCCATCATAAGCACTATTCCTTTGGGACTTACTTTGAGAATTTCTCGGTATTCAAGCGATGCTCTGCGTCATTTTATCTAACCTAAATTAGCTTCCGTTTGGTAACCATTAAAATTTTCATTTTCATTCTTCTACTCATTTTTAACCACACATTCTTCAATAAAATAATATTTTCCATCACATCAATAACTTTTCCTTCTTTTTCAACCACACATTCTCCATGGACCCCACTTGATGTGAAAGATAAAATGTATTATTTGAAGAAGAATGGCTCCCAAACGGATCCTTAGTTTGAAAATGCATTTTTACAACATTTTCTCAATATGCAAGAGTGTTCTTTATTTTAAAGAGTTCACTTTCTAATTACAAAGCATTAACTTGAAGAGATTTAGAAAATAAAGAATGAACCTTTGTATACAAGTCTAATAATAACTTAGAATGTCTTTGACTGCCTTTATTTCTCATGAAAAATGTCATTTTTTCACTAAAATTTTCGCTTTTTGGGTGTTTGATTGACAATTTTTTCCATACAAATTTTTTTCAACTTTTGGTCACGTGACTATATTTTCCTAAGAAAATAAGGAAAACATTTTCTTTAGGAATGAGTGATTTTTATTTTTCAGATAATTAACTCTCTCTCTCTCACCTACCTTTCAATAAAAAATAGACAAATATAATATTTTCTAGATTGAAAACTAAATCAATCAAACACATTTATTTAATATTTTTCATGCAAATTTCATTTTTTCAATCAAACATACCCTTATATTTATTAATTATTTTTCTTATTCTCATAAGAAGTTTGGCTCACAAAGGTAAAATGATTTTTAATGAAAACCAAAGAGACGAAAATAAAAGAAACGGGATTTAAATGTTAAAACCATCAATTAATATATAATGACAGTGTTGAATGGAAAATTATAAAATAATAAATGAAAATTTTAAAATATATAGGGAGTTGGTTTGGAAGAGAGGATGAGATTAAAACTATCAATCCTCTCTGGGGACCTACATGAAAAGAACCGTTAAATTTGTTATTTACTAAGAACTATTAATTGTGGTTGGCCGAAAAGCAAGAAAGAAAATAAATATTTGAAGAGTAAAGAAAAGAAGATAAGAAAATTTAACAATTATAAGTTGAATTATGATTGTTAACAAGCTAGTTTTAGTTTAAAATGTAGTATTAGAACAATTTAATATCACAACGATAATTGTATGTATAATATCATAAGTTCGATAATTTGTATTATCGAACATTCACGTTAGTTAATGAAAAATGATACTGTAGATATGACAAACCAACTCAAAATTAATTGTTGACTTTGATTTAAATTAATGATGTACATGACTAGATCTCAAATGTAGATGCGAGCCACTTCAAAGAACAAAGCTTAGTATGACAAACCAACTCAAAAGATGATTCAATTAAAAGTGACTATAAGAAAAAGCCCATTGGACTAAAAGAACCATGCCCCTCAGGCCTTAAAGCCCTAAATAATCCAATTGAATATGGTTCATGCAAAACCCAAAAATTAAGCCCAAAATGCTTCCAAAGTCCCAATATCCAAACATGGCCCACCAAGAAAGTGGATCTTTGCAATTCAGTTTACTTCCTATCAAAATTGCATGCACTCTACTCCCCTTTACAAATCAACTTCAACCAATAACATGCTTCCATAGAAAGAAAGTATAGACACTATTATTTGTCGACCGAAATTAGCTCGATTCATCCTTAAATTCGTTCGATAATTGCTCTTGATTCAATCCTAATCCATAGGCGTCAATCAAAATTTACGATACGCAGGATTAGGCTCAATATTCGATTGAATGAATTCGTCATTTCTTGATTCTCGTAATGCTTGTAAAAAGTGACATGAATATGGTATTTCATATTGTAATAAGAAAACAACAGAGTCTTAGTGCACAAAATACAGTGATAGTGCACTAAGCAAAACATGCGACGAAAAAAAGCGACGAAACCAATATCAAGAGAGAAAACAGTTTTAGAACAAACAAGCAAGCTCTTTGAAATCGTACAACTACGGAAGCATCTATAGTGGAAGAGGATACAAGTCCACTTTTGATTTTTGAATATCAAATTTCAATTAGGTTTTTCTGCAAATCTATAACCAGTTGAAATAGAAATATATATACACACAAAAAGCTCCTTATTCAAAGATAATGCATATAGCATAAGGCGGGGTTGGTTTGTCAAGACATCCTAGGATTCGTTGACCTTCAAGAGATTGTCAAACTTTTACAAGATGTTGGGTTTGACTTTTGCTTTGACCCTCTGAATAATTAATATTGCTCCCAGTGGTATATTCAATGAACATAGCTTAAACTGGGGGTGGTCGTTTTAATTAGTTCTTTTATGGATTAAACATCTAATTTTGTTCTAATATACAATAATAACATGAAATGAAGAAAGCAAAAGTAAAAGAATACACAATATAGTGATTCAGTCTCGACCCTCAATGCGATATCTACTTTCATTTGTCCTAGTGGGATTTCGTTATAACAAAAGGGAGGTTACAATCAGTTTATGACTCGCGTCTTTTTGTTTTCTCTACATGAAAAACTGTTCGTATTAACATTCTCTATATAAAGAGAATATGAGATGACTTGACGAGGGCGGAGCTTGGATTATAGAGTTGTGGGGACAAATTCAATAAAAAATTACTCGTGGGGGTAAAATTGAAAACTATAAAGAATTTTGAAAATCTTCTGTGAAATCTTGAAATTTTTTGTGTAAAATCTTGGATTTGAAATTTAATGTGGGAACAACTGATCTTACTACCCCCTACTAAATATGTCACCGTAACATGATACACGTGTAGATTATTCAATATATCATCGTATAATTAAAAAATCGTTCACAAAAAGTGTACATTAAAATTGCGTCAACGTATGCATAGAAATTCGTGTACCATTTCGAAGTTTTGTGTG